GAGAGAGAGAGAGAGAGAGAGAGAGAGAGAGAGAGAGAGAGAGAGAGAGAGAAGAGAGAGTACTTCGATCGATTTGTTGAGCAACGTACCGGGCAACAGGTAAGTCTCCAAGGCCGCGGATGCCTCGCGCAACTTCCAACTGTGCACTATTTTACTATTCCAACCACCTCACTTTTTTTTTTTTTTTTTTTTTTAAATTAATAAGATACATTAGATGATACTGATGAGATTGATTTGATACCGGTGAATCGCAAATCGAGGTGAGTTTGGTTAGTTTTTTATTTTTATTTTTTAATTGCGATAAAGATCGGGATTGGAAGACCAGCGAACTAGCGGCATAGAAGACAAAAAAAGCGGCAGACGACTACGAAAACAAAAAATAAGAAAAAACAAAAGAAGAAAAAAAAAAGACAAAAAGATTGGCGTTCTTCATTCATTGCTCAACCATTCCTCAGATGTTTCCTCATCGCTGCTCTCCCACCCGCTTCGAGTCCTGCCGCGCGCGGAGCCGCGGCAGGTCCGCTTGTTAATCTTTATTTCTCTTCTCGGTGCTTGGATGTTTTTTGCTAATAAATGGAGGATCGTGGTAATATGGGAGAGCTCCATTCTGTAAGGGCGACACAAGGTGGGAGGTGAAGCCCTGGAGGGAGTGGCGGCAGATTTAGGGGGATGCCCGTAGTCTGGGGTTGGGGKGGGGGTACTCATCCCAACGGGGGCAGATTAGGGTAAGGGGTGGGTAAAGACATACTTTAGGAGGGAATTGTATGCCTTTAAGGGATAGAGGAGGGGATTGAGGGTCTGTCCCAAGTTGGGGCTGAGATGGGGAGGGGATTGCAATCAGACTCGCTTTCTTCTTCACTTCGAATACATGCAAAGAGATGACAACTCACACTGGCGCTGTGCGCCCACACAAAGCTCAGAGATAATCAAGCCAAAAACACAAAACCGTTATAAAACTTGCTTCCATCTGGCTATGGCGCGTGAGGGCTCACACACATCCTTCCTTCGTCACTGTGTCCACACACTGTTCACACGTACTCGTCTCTGGATCACCCTGAATATCCCACGCACATACACTCTGCTGCTCACACACACACTGAACTCTGCCTGAATATCCCACGCACATACACTCTGCTGCTCACACACACACTGAACTCTGCCTCTAAGCTACAGCGGCTATGGCCGCCTAACCCCTACTAGTTATGGATACTCTATCTTCCCTCAGCCCACTTTGTCCTCGGGCATCTGCAGACCACCTCGCACAAGACGCTAGGGCAGCGCTTCCGCATGGCTCATGCAGGAATGAATGAATGGCTGGACGCTGCCTGTTGATTATACTTCTGTAATTCACTGGTCTGCTCTTTTCCACCGGGCCCATGGTGCACACAGTCCCTCGTGGTACTTGCTGACTGTACAAAGCCAGACTGGTTGGTAAGGCATTGTCTTTGGAAATGTTGTGTTTGGTATTGGGGGGAGGCCAGGAGTTACTCACAGATTGTGAGGCCAGGAGTGTTGACATGGTAAATTCTTACCATAGATTTCATGTCTTTCGTATCATCATCAACAGCTACTCTAATTATCGTAGTATCGGTAGTATCAGTAGTCCGAAAAAAGAAAAAAAAAAGTTATATCAAAACTTTAAAAGTTATATCAAGCTTTCTGGTGTTCTGTAATGCTTAGCGGCATGTAGTCTTCTTCCTCATTCGGGATATAGGATTTCAGAGATCGTTGAATCTGGACTGATATCTGCAGATTTGCTTTGATCTGTGCCTCTGGTTTGCCGATGCCAGAATGACGCTGGCCGGAGCTGGGGTGTTGCCCTGTAACCTGCGAATGGCAGGAGTGTGAGGCTTTGTAGAGAGATCTGGGGACTTGCTGAGGGAGGAAGGCAATCCAGTGGTGAACTGGGGGGAGCTGCCCAGAAAACCTATGGGTCCAGGGATAGTCTAGGTGGCGAGAACAGGTCAGCTATGTTTGATGTTGCTTAGGATGGCACTGTCTCTAAGATGTAATGTCCTGGTACAGGGAGGGCTAGGAGTTGTTCCTGGATTAGGAGGCCAGAATTGCTGATATAGCATAGTCTTCTATATTTTTTACATACTGATCATCATCATCATCATCATCATCATCATCATCATCCACATTGGTATTATTATCTCACAAGAATCAACAAAAGTTCATCATCATCATCATCATCATCATCATGTGAGGGACGCTGAGCCCGGTTCTCAGCATGTTCGTTTCGGCCACTCCGGGTAGACTGTGAGGACCCCGGTCTCATTCTTCTTAATGATAATATCAGCCTTGGGCACTGGGCCCGTTTAAAAAAAAAAAAGATCACTTTCTGACAAGTTGCTTATAGAGTTTAGATGGTTGCACTTCGTGCCTTGTCTTTCATTCTTCTGTGCTTTGGGTTCTCGGCTGCCGGCTCCTTTTTCGAGTGTTGTTGTGACGTAACTTGTGACCCAACTTATTCTTTACCCTCCCAAACACACACACACACACACACACACACACACACACACACACACACACACACACACACACATATAGAATCATTATAGAATCATACAGATGTATGTGACCTCTGTTATAAATTCTTTCAATTTATTTGTCCTCGAATGGGTCTGTGCAACTTGCCCCTGGTTTCTTTTACCCTTTTTTTTGGGGGGGGGTTAAACAGGTCCTTATAGTCCTGGCTCCTTAGTTCACTCTGGGGAGCATCGGTCCGTTTTTTATTCCCTGGCAACGGCGGCAAGTCCAAGGGACACAGCATATATACACTCAGACTCATGGTTCCATTTGGCCAATGGATCCCTGACCAGCATTTAGTCCTCCGCCGAGTGGAGGATTGACTATCAACTTGCCATCACTTGATCTCCTCTCAGCCTTGGTTAATAGTACTTAATACCCAGACTGTCCATTGCGTGTCAGGCCACTCCGAGCCCTGCTACACCACCCCTCTCTGACTCATCCCCCCTAAATAAACCCACTCTCCCCTGCACTCCCCCGAACTTGGTAGGCCTCACGATATCCAGGCAGGTCATCCCATATCGAGCCGTACTCGACCGGTCTGACAAGCAGCTGGCGCTGGGGTTGGCATTCCTTACGACAGAGCTGACCTCTGGTGGCTCAAGTACATGACATGGATCTGATGATAAAAGGTCTGGATACTGATGATTCCATGTTCACGTACAGGTCCAAGACTCCAGGTACAGGAATGAGAATGAAAATGAAACCAAGCTGACCTGGTCCAGATGGAGCTTACCTCTCTGGGATATGGAGTTTCTGTCTTCGAAATGGGAACGAAAATGGAACAAAACTTTGTCCCAAATGGAACTGCATGAACCAAGCAGAAGCAGTTTGTACTTGAGCTGGAAGTAAATGTGCAGAAAGTACCAGAAACCGAAAAAAAAAAAAGAAGAAAAAAAGGCAGAAATCAAAGGAGGTACATTGAAGGACAATGTGAAGATGGTCCAGAGGCATAATGGGCAAAAAGGAGGAAAGTGTGTGTGTGGGGGGCAGAACGAAGGGGTTGAGTTTTGGCAGAGGTCGACGGTACGTACCGCATGTGTTAAGGATCGACCCAATGTCTTCGTCCTTATCGAACATAAGCAACCTGTCACGGTTGACCTGTCAGGTAAAAAAACAGCCAAGACGTCAACACGACCTTTCGACCGAGACAAACACACTACTAAGTCGACACGATGACACGACCGAAGAGGATGCCCCAAACAACATCGCTTATTACAGAAAGCTTAACCCAAGAGTACCGCAGAAAAAAATGGTCTCCAGAATCCACTATCCTCTCCACCTTCTTCACGCTCCCCCTTACACATACCGGAACAACCCCCGGAGCCATGCATGATGACGAGGACGACCTTTTGCCTTTTGACCTGAGGGGAACATCAGTGCAGGTCCAGGTCCAGGTCCAGCCATTGAACACATCAGTGGCATAGAGGGGAACTTTCAAAGAAGGGAATGCAGTATAACTGTATAAGAATGTGTGCGAGGATCAAGGATGACCTCCCTGCACACTGGATGGCCTTGATGAGCTGAAGGTAATCTGAGTTTGGCGTTTGATTGTTGTTGCATTAACGACTCTGGATCATTTGCACTCGTTCGTTTTGATCTCGACTAAACGCCTTCCTTTGCCCCTGCGTGGCTTTAACCCCCTCCCCTTTAAAAAGCCCCGCTTGCATTCTCCCGAAAGCAATCTGGAAGAGGAGCTGCAGTTTAAGAACGATGGTGCCACCCCCCAATGCGCCCTGTTGAACTAGCACTCACCTCAATAAAGGCACTGGATTCTTAGCATCTGGATTCAAACTTGGGTCTGTATTCTTTTTTTCCCCCCCCTTTAAACCACTAGTACCTTTGCCGTCCAGTTTCGACAAGTTTTGGCCCAGTCCCGAACTTCTAGGAGGTCGGGCCCGACAACAGCTGCCGTTGACAAATCTGATCGGCGGCCGTCGTTTCGTTTCGGTCTCGTGAAAGGTCGGAGGCTCACTATTTTCCGGACCGACAAAGGTACTAGTGGTTTAAATAAAGTTGTACACGTTCAAGGTAGGGCAGTTGGCATTTCAGCTCAAGAGTGCAGGTACCAACCCAACTCATCCCAGGGTTAATGGCTAAGAGCATCCCGCACCGGTAGACCTTTACAGAACCCAGTCGCACAGGTGTCACCCTTAGTGCCCCTGAGGTGTGCTGCGAACAGCCCTTCCGTTCTCATCAAGAGCCGCGTACCCCCAATGGGTACAATTTATTGGGCCATCCCCCCAAGGGGTGCCTGACCCTTGTAGTAGTGGGTGAATGCACTGTCGCCCAGCTGCTGGGTCGCAGACAGCAGGCACAGATCTAATCCCAGCCAGCCAACTGCAGATGCTTCAGAGCGATTCCCGCTGCAACCTTGCCCTGGCACAAGCCAGCGGGCTCAGGGCCCCCCCACTGGACCGAGTACCTTCCCATCTAGGCTCGGACAGGGAACCGGCAATCAGCCAGGGAACCGGCAATCAGCCCCCAAGCATCCACTCGGGCATGGCAGGGATTGAACCTGCAACTTACGTCCCCAAAGTATTCCGAGACCTTCCTGCGGCATGCGCCACAGGTGCCCCACCAGGCAATGCTCAAATCCGCAACCTGTGGGAATGAACACACAGGCACCCAATCCATCTGGGCAACAGTGCAAACACAGTGTGTGAATGACCCTAAGCTCAGCGCTCAGATTTCACAATATCAATATTCAGTACATCACACCGGAGTGCAGGCTCGAAGATTCGAGCCCACACCCGAAGCCACAACGGTGAGTATTGCAGAATCCAATATCCAGTACGGCGTACGGCGCGCCAGAGTGCAGGCTCGAAGATTTGAGCCCACAACCTAAGCCACAACGGTGCATTACCGACCAGCGCTCGACCAACTGAGCCAGGGGCCATTCACAGTTCATGGGTATACCAACTGAGCTACAGGAGGCCCTTTGGTATCGTATCTGCAGACTACACCTTCAGAATATTACAGATTTTTGTGAGATCCAGTGTCAGATTGTCAGATTTTGTGATATCCAGAGTCCTACTGTCAGTTGAACAATCTCTGTTGGGAAGGAAATGTGAGTGAGTGAGTGAGTTAATGAAACCAAGTGCGCTATTAAAAAAAAAATGAAAATAAAAATAATAATAATAAAATCTGAGTGAGTGAGTGAGTTAATGAAACCAAGTGTGCTATTCAAAAAAAAAAAAAAAGGAAACCAAGTGTGCTTCAGAGATTTCCAATCATAGCCTAGTACCCTGTGATCCTCCTTCGGTATTTCAGGCTTTTTTTATGTGTAAACCATACTCCCTTTTCCATGTAAACGCAACATTTTTGTCATTCCCGTGCCAACCGATTTCGACAAAATTTTCCTAATATCAAACAACCAAAAGTGTCAAAATCAGTTCCGCTTAATGCATGGTAACCGTCCGGACGTCCGGACCGGGTTCCAGACAGTCTGGTGTCCGGTCCTCATGTCTGGATGGAGGCCTCTGGAGCAAAAATCAAAAAAAAAAAAAAAAAAGGGGCGGCCCAGGACGTTTATCTGGTCCTGGCCGCCCCTCGAAAAATAACGGGGCGATGTTTCAGTGTCGTTTCACCCCACCGCACATGGCCTAGAACTCCGGACACAAGACACTGCAGGTTTTTGAGGTGGCGGGTTTCACACAGGCCTGAGCAATTTCAAAGCGGCCGTTTTGACATGGCGCCTGCCGCTACTGCCCGTTGGGG